TTTATAACAAAATTGTAGAAAATTATTTTCTTAGTAAAATATGTGTTTATTGTGTATAGATTAAACACGTGAATACCGTAAATAAGACTGTAGGAGCTAATACTCGACGTTCGCAATGAAAAGACTGAACTAACTAACTGAACAAGAACTGACCTAGAACTGAACTCGAACTGAAAAACTGAACAGAACTAGAACTAGAAACTGAACTAGAACTGAACTAGGAACTGACTAAACTGAACTAGAACTGAACTAGAACTGAAACTAGAACTGAACTAGAACTGAACTAGAACTGAACTAGAACTGAACTAGAACTGAACTAGAACTGAACTAGAACTGAACTAGAACTGAACTAGAACTGAACTAGAACTGAACTAGAACTGAACTAGAACTGAACTAGAACTGAACTAGAACTGAACTAGAACTGAACTAGAACTGAACTAGAACTGAACTAGAACTGAACTAGAACTGACTAGAACTGAACTAGAACTGAACTAGAACTGAACTAGAACTGAACTAGAACTGAACTAGAACTGAACTAGAACTGAACTAGAACTGAACTAGAACTGAACTAGAACTGAACTAGAACTGAACTAGAACTGAACTAGAACTGAACCAGAACTGAACTAGAACTGAACTAGAACTGAACTGAACTGAACTAGAACTGAACCAGAACTGAACTAGAACTGAACTAGAACTGAACTGAACTAGAACTTAACCAGAACTGAACTAGAACTGAACTAGAACTAAACTAGAACTGAACTAGAACTAGAACTGAACTAGAACTGAACTAGAACTGGAACTAGAACTGAACTAGAACTGAACTAGAACTGAACTAGAACTGAACTAGAACTGAACTAGAACTGAACTAGAAACTGAACTAGAACTGAACCTAGAACTGAACTAGATAACCTGAACTAGAACTGACTAGAACCTGAACTAGAACTGAACTAGAACTGAACTAGAACTGAACTAGAACTGAACTAGAACTGAACTAGAACTGAACTAGAACTGAACTAGAACTGAACTAGAACTGAACTAGAACTGAACCTAGAACTGAACTAGAACTGAACTAGAACTGAACTAGAAATGAACTGAACTAGAACTGAACTAGAACTGACACTAAGAACTGAACTAGAACTGAACTAGAACTGAACTAGAACTGAACTAGAACTGAACTAGAACTGAACTAGAACTGAACTAGAACTGAACTAGAACTGAACTAGAACTGAACTAGAACTGAACTAGAACTGAACTAGAACTGAACTAGAACTGAACTAGAACTGAACTAGAACTGAACTAGAACGAACAGACTAAACTGAACTAGAACTGAACTAGGAACTGAACTAGAACTGAACTAGAACTGAACTAGAACTGAACTAGAACTGAACTAGAACTAACTGAACTAGAACTGAACTAGAACTGAACTAGAACTGAACTAGAACTGAACTAGAACTGAAATAGAACTGAACTAGAACTGAACTAGAACTGAACTAGAACTGAACTAGAACTGAACTAGAACTGAACTAGAACTGAACTAAACTGAACTAAACTGAACTAGAACTGAACTAGAACTGAACTAGAACTGAACTAGAACTGAACTAGAACTGAACTAGAACTGAACTAGAACTGAACTAGAACTGAACTAGAACTGAACTAGAACTGAACTAGAACTGAACTAGAACTGAACTAGAACTGAACTAGAACTGAACTAAAACTGAACTAAAACTGAACTAGAACCGAACTAGAACTGAACTAGAACTCAACTCGAACTCAACTCGAACTGTGCTAGAACTGAACTAGAACTGATTTAGAAATGAACTAGAACTGAAGTAAAACTGAACTAGAACTGAAGTAAAACTGACTAGAACTGAACTAAAACTGAACTAGAACTGAACTAAAACTGAACTGAACTAGAACTGAACTAGAACTGAACTAGAACTGAACTAGAACTGAACTAGAACTGAACTAAAACTGAACTAGAACTGAACTAGAACTGAACTAGAACTGAACTAGAACTGAACTAGAACTGAACTAAAACTGAACTAGAACTGAACTAAAACTGAACTGAACTAGAACTGAACTAGAACTCAACTCGAACTGAACTCGAACTGTGCTAGAACTGAACTAGAACTGATTTAGAAATGAACTAGAACTGAAGTAAAACTGAACTAGAACTAGAACTGAACTAGAACTGAACTAGAACTGAACTAGAACTGAACTAGAACTGAACTAGAACTGAACTAGAACTGAACTAGAACTGAACTAGAACTGAACTAGAACTGAACTAGAACTGAACTAGAACTGAACTAGAACTGAACTAGAACTGAACTAGAACTGAACTAGAACTGAACTAGAACTGAACTAGAACTGAACTAGAACTGAACTAAAACTGAACTAGAATTGAACTAGAACTGAACTAGTACTGAGCCAGAACTGAACTAAAACTGATTTAGAATTAATCTAGAATTGAATTAGTACACAACTAGCACTGAACTACAACTGGACTATAACTGAAGTGGATCAGAAGTAGAACTGAACTAGAACTGATCTAATATTGAAGTAGTGCAGAAGTAGTATTGAATTATTACTGATCTAGGACTAAAAATCTAACTAATCTATCGCATTTTAACCTCTTTCTTAGACTTTCCATAATTGGGAACAACAAATATTTGAAATAATCAACTCAATTTATAGGAAACTTTAAAAATTCTTATTAAAAAAACACCTATGTTTTTAACAACAAAATCTTATCTCTGTTGTTAGTTATTGCACTAAATTATAAAAATTTTATAAAAAGTTGCTAATGAAACTAATAAGCTACTTAATTTAGTAAAACCAAATTTGATTCTCTCTTTTATGGATCAAGTGAAAGTTATAAACATTGACAAATAGATATTTATGTTGCAATTAAACTTTAAAATTTACTTTGCATGTCTAGTGAGAGTACACGACCAATAGAGTAAACTGAAATGGGTCTAGGTCAAATTTTATATCAACAACACAAAATTAGATGAGCAAGAAAACAAATATTCATGCCTTTACAAGCAAAACTTAGAGACTGCAATGAAACCGTAGAAATTTTTTAAAAACTTTAACTAATCACGTACTAAAAATAAAAAACATTTATCACAAACAATACCTGCATTATTCATAACCAAAGTCAAATAGTATTAAATTAAGAGAATATAAAAATGTTAAACAATTTCAATGATGGACGAAACAACTAAAACTTTAAAACTAGTACAGAATATAAAATGAATCATTAAAACATTGTTTTTAGAATAATAAATAGAATTAGAAAACTTAAAATGTTACCAATTTTCTAAAGATGCAGGAAGAAAAACCACTTGAGCATAAAAATGTAAAGAAAAAACAACAAACACAAAAAATTAACTGGATATGTAAAAAAGAAAAACAAACAACAATTGCAATAGATGCCAAAACACAAAAGAAAAAACTACAGATGAAAAGAAAAACAAGTGGAGAAAAATTACAATACACAATCAAACACACACACACACACACGCATATAAAGAGGGTGAAGAAATACATACATACATATGCATGAGAAAAAAAAAAATAAACCTTCAATAAACAGCTGTCTCATTAGCATTTATTTACAGTTCTCTTTATACTAACCTTTATTTCTTTTTTGTTGTTTTAATAATTAGTAATTATATTTTATTTAAATATTAACTTTATGGCAATTGTAATTTTTATAAAACCAATTCTTTTTGATTTCTGTTTAAAACACTGACGTAAATTTTTCTCTTTTTTGCTCTTCCTTTATACTTGATTTTTTATGTGAAAACTTTTTTTGTATCAATTTCGTCACTTTTTTCGTGTTCTCTATAAAGCTGTGCGAATATTTGTTTTTTCAATGGTAAAAAATAGTTATTTTTATTAGATATTTTATGAAAATTGTATATAAATTCATTAAATAATAAACTAAAGTTTACTTTTATAATAAAAAGACTGATGTTTTAAACATTTTAAATGACTTTTTAATAAAAATTTATCGCAGTGAAAAAATCCCGAACAGACGAAGTTAAAAAAGAACTACCGAATGAAAGGAAATTGGAGTAAAAAAATCAGAGTTGAGTTTTATTTTTATCTAGTTTGATAACACTGCCATCTAGGTGTCAATAATATCAGTGATGCCATATGAAATTTGTTACGATATAGCTAATTTCATTAATGTTAAGGAATAACAAAATCTTAACAAATTACTTCTAGTAACTGCTAAAATATATATTTACCTCAATCACTACTCTCACAATTAACTAAAATCCACCTTAAGTAAAACCCACCATTAATCAGCTACTCCAAACAATGCAACTCTGATATGCTGAGTTGGGGAATTTTTTAATGTAACAACGCCTTTATATAGTGTAGTAACGCTAGTTCAGAGACCCGCGCCAATTCGGCTTAAAGTCGACTGAGCCTAGCCGCCGAACAAAATATCAAAGCCGCCACCGCCGAAAATTTTTTAGCTTAATACTTGAAAATTTCGCCATATGATTGTTTTTTTGTCCATGGAAATTTTGCCTGAAGCTGTCAAACTTCATTTAAAAAATTTGAATATGTTTATTTCAAACAAAAAACTCTATTCCGGCAGATCAATTTGCAAAATTTGAGTGCCTGAAATTAAGTAAATTTTTTTTTAATTTTTTGTGAAAAATAAACATAAAAAATATATGTTCATGAGAAAATTATATTACGAATGAATCTTTGTTGCAAATTGATAATTCTACTCCGGCGGAGTAATTTTCAATAATTGGCCATAACGTAGCAGCCGCCGGTCGGGTAAATACCTTATATGGGTTTTGTTATAAAAAGCGTTTCGGATCAGACTTTTTTAGTTAATCAAGTTATCTACAAAGTGTAAATATAAAACAATATTGTTTGATTTCTTAAAATTAAATAGAATTAGACTTTACGTACTTAAAGTGTGATCGTGTAAATGGCCCTTTAGCTGGCTTACAGTCGATTTTAAGCCGCCGTTAATATTTGTCGGCGCAGAGCTCTTCGCTAGGTATAATCACTTTTGCAGTTTTTTTTGCTGCACATAGAAAAATTGTACAAGAAGAAAGAAGAATTCGTAATATATTTTAAGCAAACGAAAAATTCCATTGAAAAAAGTGAAAAACGATTTTATTGTGCGACAATTAAAACATTTAACATAACTTTAACAAATCGTGCAGTGTTTTTGGGTAAGTTGTGAAAATTACAAACCCTCCCGACAGAAAGTTTTCGATTTATTCAAGGTGAATGTACGCTTTTATTTGCGAAAAAGTCGCAGAAATAGAAATCAAAGCTATTTAGTTGGAAAGTGAAAAATGTGTGTGATATTTTCTACTAACCACATTGCCTCAATTTAGTTTTTTACTATATTTAATTGTATTTAAAAAAGTTACTTTTTACCAAAATTTTTGCCATGAATTTTCTCTAAAATTGTCTGGCGAAAAAAAGGTGGTGGTTTAACGACGACAACGACGTATGAGCCCCATCATTACTCGAAAAAAACCACCATTGCCCACGCCAACAACAAAATCATGGTCGCTTTTGTCTATTTTAACTCATACCGGGAATGTTTTCTATTGTTTCGTTTGACATTTTGTCGGTACTCAGCAGACAACATCTTCGGGAATGAGACACTTTATAATATCAGGGATGGAAAGTACACTATTGTATTTATTCAGCGGTACTGATATATTATGAAATTATGAAATTTTGCAATGTTTTCAATAGACTATATTCTATTAGCCTAAAGCAGCGAAACTGAGTGAGCTTGTCAATAAGCTAGTTCATATGTAAAAATACTAGACAATATAATATTCAAATATTCAAAATATAATAGTCAAAAGAAAAATCAATATAATGAAATGTCGGCAGACTAGTCTTTAAATTAGTTAAAATACCAGTGAATAAAAAAGTATTTAATAGACAATTCAGTTGACCAATCAATAGACTAGTCGTTGGCTAATTAATATTTTATAGAATAGTATGCAGACAGGTCAATAGACAAAATTAAACTAACTTTTGGAAAAAGTTTATACCTTTTCAAAATTTCAATTTTCCATGCCTGACTTTTAATACCTATCATCAGACTTCGGTTTTTATGAATGTGTATTATTGTTGTTGTAGTATTGTGTACAATTTTCGCTTGATTTTTTGTATTTAGGCATTTTTTGTGTGTCTATTAAAATAAGGGTAAAATAAATTTTCATTACTTCCGTTTAAGGGTTATCAATTTTAAAAATGCGGTAAAATGTTTTGCAATTAATGGGAAAATTTGCTATTTAGCTTAATTTTGATTTACACAATACAAATAATCTTGAATGTAAAGTAAAAGTGAAAAATATAAAGTGTTATATATTTCAAAAAAGTAGGGATTATAACGGCCGTGATCATTAGTATGAAATAAAAAACAAAACTAAGAGTATCGTAATTTAAAATGTTGAAATTTTGTACTCAGTACCTACTACCAACATAAATCACATTCGTGAACTTAAGATTGCATCAAATCCGAAGAAGTACACCTAGGCCTTCGTCGATCCTGTTATGCGATTCTTTACCCACGACCTCCGGTATAACAGACTGGAACACTAAGCACTAAACCAACGGAGTATTGTCTGTAGTCTAGTTTATAATCTATCAATACTCTAGTCTTTATATCTAGTCTATAGTCCAGTATATAGTGTAGTCTACAGTCTAGTCTATAATCTAGTCTATTCTGTAGTATAGTTTATAATCTAGTCTATAGTCTAGTATATAATCTAGTCTATAGTCTAGTCTATAGTCTATAGTATAGTCTATAGTCTAGTATATAGTCTATAGTCTAGTCTATAGTCTAGTCTATAGTCTAATCTATAGTCTAGTCTTTAGTCTAGTCTTTAGTCTAGTCTATAGTCTAGTCTATAGTCTAGTCTATAGTCTAGTCTATAGTCTAGTCTATAGTCTAGTCTATAGTCTAGTCTATAGTCTAGTCTATAGTCTAGTCTATAGTCTAGTCTATAGTCTAGTCTATAGTCTAGTCTATAGTCTAGTCTATAGTCTAGTCTATAGTCTAGTCTATAGTCTAGTCTATAGTCTAGTCTATAGTCTAGTCTACTGTCTAGTCTATAGTCTAGTCTATAGTCTAGTCTTTGGTCAAGTCTATAGTCTAGTCTATAATCTAGTCTATAGTCTACTCTACAGTTTAGTCTATAGTCTAGTCTATAGTCTTGTCTATAATCTAGTCTATAGTCGAGTCTACTCTGTAATCTAGTCTATATGTATTAAATTACATAAGACTCATGAAAATTTCAAATTATTTTCGAAATTAAAAAAAATATATACAGATCTGTAATAAATTGTCAACTTTATATCCAATATTGAGAGTAATAATACAATCTGTAGTCTTTAAATTGTTTATAATTTTTATAAAAATATCATCAATAAAAATTTAAAAATAACCACATAATTTATAATTTATTTTAGTTCATGTTATTTTAGTTTTCACTTGTTTTCTTTGTTTATAAATATTTTATTTCTTTTGAATTGTATTTACATTGACGTTTAATATTAAAAACATAAAGAAGCTTCATATACATATATTTTTTACTAACTTTTACATAATAATTTAATCTATATCCCCTAAAAAAAGGCCACCATCAACAAAAGGCGAACGAATATAACGTAAACGTTAAATAAACTCAAAAGATAAAGAAATTCTCAAGCAGCAAAGTATAAAGAAAAGAAACTAAAAAAAATGACGTGGGAACCGCAAGCAGATGGCTTACAGCAAATCATAGGCATACTCAAGGAGTCTCAATCTCCCGATACAGCTACTCAATTGGCCGTGCATATGGTAAATACAAAAACACAACCTCTTATATCGTTAATATTATTCTCTTTATTTTATTTTCCTCCATCTATAAACAGAAACTTGAAGAACTTAATCAATATCCGGATTTTAATAACTATTTGATTTATGTTTTAACCAAACTTAAATCCGAAGATGAACCTACACGCTCCCTAAGTGGTCTCATACTTAAGAATAATATGCGCACTCATGGCAATAATTTAAGACCCGAAATTGTTGAATACATTAAACATGAATGTTTACAAGCTATTGGTGATCCATCGCCTTTGATAAGAGCCACAGTGGGTATTTTAATAACTACTATTGCCAGTAATGGTGGTTTACACAATTGGCCACAGCTTTTGCCATCGCTGTGTGATATGTTGGATTCCCAAGATTATAATGTATGCGAGGGTGCTTTCAGTGCCCTACAGAAGATCTGTGAAGATCATGCTGAAACCTTGGACTCTGCCTCTCTCAATAGACCACTCAATGTTATGATTCCTAAATTTTTGCAATATTTCAGTCATAACAGTCCCAAGATACGTTCACATGCTATTGCCTGTATTAATCAATTCATTATGATTCGTTCTCAAGCTTTGATGTTGCATATTGATACTTTTATTGAAAGTCTTTTCAATTTATCCTCCGATGATGATCATGAAGTAAGGAAGAATGTTTGTCACGGTTTGGTTATGTTGCTGGAAGTACGTATGGATCGTTTATTGCCCCATATGCCGCAAATTATTGAATATATGCTAATGAGAACACAAGATTCAGATGAGGGAGTGGCTTTAGAAGCTTCCGAATTTTGGTTATCATTGGCTGAACAAAGCATTTGCAAAGATGTTCTAACACCCTATTTGCCACAATTGGCGCCGGTTTTAGTAAAGGGCATGCGTTATTCGGACATTGATATTATTTTACTTAAGGGTAATGTGGAAGAAGATGACATGGTACCAGATCGAGAAGAAGATATAAGACCACGTTTCCATAAATCTCGCACACATACCATTAAGTCTACCGAGGCGGGTGGCGGAGATGATGATGACGATGATTTCGATGATGGTCTAGATGATGACAGTTCCTTGTCTGAGTGGAATTTGCGTAAATGCAGTGCTGCCGCTTTAGATGTTTTGGCTAATGTTTTTCGCCAGGAATGTTTACCTATTCTATTGCCCATACTCAAGGATACCCTGTTCCATCAAGATTGGGTTATAAAGGAAAGTGGTGTTTTGGCTTTGGGCGCTATTGCTGAGGGTTGTATGCAAGGCATGATCCCTCATTTACCGGAGTTAATACCCTACTTGATTAGCTGTTTGTCAGACAAAAAAGCTTTGGTACGTTCCATTACCTGCTGGACTTTATCACGTTATGCCAATTGGGTAGTTAGCCAGCCACATGATCAATATTTAAAACCCTTAATGGAAGAATTGCTCAAACGTATTTTGGACTCCAATAAGAGAGTACAAGAGGCAGCCTGCTCAGCTTTTGCCACACTCGAAGAAGAAGCTTGCACTGAACTAGTACCCTATTTGGAATATATTCTACAAACTTTAGTATTTGCTTTTTCGAAATATCAACATAAAAATCTCTTAATACTCTACGATGCTGTGGGTACATTAGCCGATTCTGTGGGTCATCATTTGAATAAACCACAATATATAGAAATTCTAATGCCACCACTAATTGACAAATGGAATCTTTTGAAAGACGATGACAAAGATCTATTTCCTCTATTGGAATGTCTATCGAGTATAGCTACAGCTTTGCAATCGGGTTTCTTACCCTATTGTGATCCTGTTTACAGAAGATGTATATCATTGATTGAACAAACTATCAATCAGGAAATGGTATGTTATTGGAAAGTTTCTAAATAAAAATTTATATTAATGTTTCTTTTTTTTTTCTAAAGGCTTGCAAACAAAATCCTGGTATTGATCATCCCGATAAGGAGCGCATGATTGTCGCTTTGGATTTATTATCTGGTTTAGCTGAAGGTTTAGATGGTCATATTGAATCTTTGGTGGCTAATAGCACTATTATGCAATTATTATATCAATGTATGCAAGATATATTGCCGGAGGTAAGAACTTTTTGTTTTTATAGTGATATACTTATACATCTTTCATATATATTTTTCTTTTCTTAAAAAAAAAGGTTCGTCAATCATCTTTTGCTTTATTGGGTGATTTAACTAAGGCCTGTTTCCAACATGTACATCCATTTATGGCTGAGTTTTTCCCCATTTTGGGACAAAATCTAAATCCCGATTATATATCCGTTTGCAACAATGCCACCTGGGCTATTGGGGAAATTTGTATGAAATTGGGTAAGTTTAATAATTAAATCGAAATAAACCTACCTAAACCTGTATTAATTTCCTCTTTTTTGTCCCTAATTTTTCAGGTGAAGAGACTCGCCAGTATATACATTTAGTACTTAAAGAGTTGATCGTTATTATTAATCGACCAAATACACCTAAAACACTTTTGGAAAATACTGGTAAGTTTTACTTAATATATTGACAATAAACCAATTTACCTTACATTAATAAGACTATACAAATTGTGTGTGTAATGATTTTTGTTACTTTACTTTTTGTCTGTGTGTATATTTTTCTTACAAAAACAACATGAACGTAAAATATGTTTTCAGCACCAAGAAAAGCACATCACTTATGATTCATATATACTATTTTAGCTTTTATATATTGTATTATTTTGTTGTTTGTTATAATCGAGTTATTAGACATACAAAGCTATAGTTACAAGGTTTAAACTGTCATCATAATTGTTTAGAATTATTGATAGCTTTATGTTTTTAAATTGTTCTTTTAAATCTAGAATTTGATTTGATTTATAGAAACTTAATTTTGCTAAGGCTTTTTAGAACCCGTTTGATTGCTTTGAATAAGAGGAAAAGATACTTAATATAAATTTCTAAATATAGGTTTCAGTTTAGTTAACTAATCCATGAGCTGGTCCATTGACTGGTCTATGAACTTGTTTATTGAATAGCCTAAGGACTAGTTTATTGACTAGCCTATAGACAAGTCTATTGACTAGTATATGGACTTGAGTATGGACTATTCTATTGACTAGACTATATACTGTTCTATCGAACTTGTCTACCGACAAGTTTATTGACTAGCCAATGACTAGGCTATTGACTACTCTATGGATTTGACTATGGACTAGTCTATATACTGGTATATGAACATGTATATTGACGAGCCTAAGGACTAGCATATTTGCTTGTTTATTGACTATCCTAAGGACTAGTCTATGGACTTATCTATTGGCTAGCCTAAGGACGAGTCTATTCACTAGTTTATGGACTATTCTATTGACATGTCTATGGATTTGTTTATTGACAAGTCTATGGACTTGTCTATTGACTAGTCTATGGACTTGTCTATTGACTAGTTTATGGACTTGTCTACTGACTAGTCTATGGACTTGTCTATTGACTAGTCTATAGACTTGTCTATTGTCTAGTCTATAGACTAGTCAATAGACAAGACTGTTGACTAGTCTATGGACTTGTCTATTGATTAGTCTATGGACTTGTCTACTAACAAGTCTATGGACTTGTCTATTGACTAGTCTGTGGACTTTTCTCTTGACTAGTATATAGACTTGTCTATTGGCTAGTCTATGGACTTTTCTATTGATTAGTCTATGGATTGACTAGTTTATAAACTATTCAATGGACTAGTCTATGCACTTGACTATTGACTGTGCTAACATATTGATTAATATACAGACTAGTCTTTAAACAGTTGTTTTACCTATGATATACACTTCTCGGAAATGTTCTAAATATAGTTAAAGGACTTAAATTGCCATGAGGTATTTTCGATGCTCTTCTTAGTCACTTTATAAAAAGTCTTCAAAAGAACCTCAATAAATGTATCCCTGGATGTAATTTTATCTTTATTGTCTGTTTCTAAGTATTTCTCAGCAAAACGTTATTTCTACATTTTAAAAATAAAAATCTAAAATTCAATGTTTAACAAGATGTTAAAATAAATTTTCTATGTGTGTGTGCTGTATATAGTTATAGTAAATACAAACAATAATTATTTTTATTTTATTGCTGTCACCAAAAACTTTATTAACCGACGGACCTTAACATTACTTTTTTTTTTTCAACCAACCACAAAAACCACTAAATGTCAAATTAATGTTAAGGTTCTTTTTGAAAAAAAAAAAACTAAAAACATTTGTATTTTATTATTATTGTATTTGTATAAAATCATAATTTATGATTTTTTAATTTATTTATATTTTTAATTTTTTGTTTTTCGTTCCTTTATAGCAATAACTATTGGTCGTCTAGGTTATGTGTGCCCAGTTGAAGTGGCTCCTTATTTGCCAGAGTTTGTACGACAGTGGTGTGTAACACATTTCATTTTGTTTATATTTAACTATAATTTCTTTCTTTTATTTGTTTACGAAAAATGAAAAGAAAAACTAGCTTTTTATCTTTTGATTATTTTGTGTATATTTCTCTAATGTTAAATGTTTTCGTTTAGTTTAATGATGAAACATTTGTAATTTTCTTTTTTTTTTTTATTTAATTTAAAATTAAGTAAAAAACCAAACCAAAAACATATCGAATGTTTTTAATTGTGTTTATAAGTGTTGATATATGTGATTTTATTTTACCATTCTTGTTTTTCTCTCTCTCGTTTAGGTGCACGTCTTTGCGTCATATAAGAGATAATGATGAAAAAGATTCAGCTTTTCGCGGTATGTGTCACATGATTACAGTAAATCCAGCTGGTGTGGTACCTGATTTTATATTCTTTTGCGATGCCATTGCGTCATGGGTGAATCCACCGCAAGATTTGCATCAAATGATACAAAAGGTAAGTGAGAACAGAAATTTAGTGTCTTTACATAATTTGTTTCTCTACTTTTTAAAATTTCTAATGAAATAGAATATTTATTGGATAAAAAATATTAAGTTGTGGCTAGAACTGACTAGAAAACTGAACTAGAACTGAACTGAACTAGAACTAACAGAACTGAACTAGAACGAACTAGAACTGAACTAGAACTGAACTAGGAACTGAAACTAGAACTGAAATGAACTTAACTAGGAACTGAACTAGAGAACTGAACTAGAACTGAACTAGAACTGAACTAGAAAATGAACTAGAACTGACTCGAACTGAACTAGAACTGAACTAGAACTGAACTGAACTGAACTAGAACTGACTAGAACTGAACTAGAACTGAACTAGAACTGAACTAGAACTGAACTAGAACTGAACTAGAACTGAACTAGAACTGAACTAGAACTGAACTAGAACTGAACTAGAACTGAACTAGAACTGAACTAGAACTGAACTAGAACTGAACTAGAACTGAACTAGAACTGAACTAGAAACTGAACTAGAACTGAAACTAGAACTGAACTAGAACTGAACTAGAAATGAACTAGAACTGAACTAGAACTGAACTAGAAACTGAACTAGAACTGAACTAGAACTGAACTAGAACTGAACTAGAACTGAACTGAAACTGAACTAGAAACTGAACTAGAACTGAACTAGAACTGAACTAGAATGAACTCGAACTGAACTAGAACTGAACTTAGAACTGAACTAGAACTGAACTAGAACTGAACTAGAACTGAACTAGAACTGAACTAGAACTGAACTAGAACTGAACTAGAACTGAACTAGAAGAACTAGAACTGAACTAGAACTGAACTAGAACTGAACTAGAACTGAACTAGAACTGAACTAGAACTGAACTAGAACTGAACTAGAACTGAACTAGAACTGAACTAGAACTGAACTAGAACTGAACTAGAACTGAACTAGAACTGAACTAGAACTGAACTAGAACTGAACTAGAACTGAACTAGAACTGAACTAGAACTGAATTAGAACTGAACTAGATCTGAACTAGAACTGAACTAGAACTGAACTAGAACTGAACAAGAACTAAACTAGAACTGAACTAAACTTAACTAGTACTAAACTGGAACTGAACTAGAACTGAACAAGAACTGAACTAGAACTGAATTAGAACTGAACTAGAACTGAACTAGAACTGAACTAGAACTGAACTAGAACTGAACTAGAACTGAACTAGAACGAACTAGAACTGAACTAGAACTGAACTAGAACTGAACTAGAACTGAACTAGATCTGAATAGAACTGAACTAGAACTATACTAGAACTGAACTAGAACTGAATTAGAACTGAACTAGCTTTTATCTTTAGAACTAGAACAGATCTAGAACTGAATTAGAACAGAACAGAATTGAACTAGAACAAAACTTAGCTAGAACTAACTTATGGTCAACGCTTCATGCAAAGGCAAATAGGATACATACTTATTGGATTAGACAGATGTAGTCTTAGAAGGGATTTGAAATTTTGAATTTTTTTTGTGAAATTTAAATTTTTTTTAAATTTTTTTAGAGATCAAATTAAAACTTTTTATACAATTTGCTAATATATTTTTTCTTCCTCTCTCTTTTCCAGATATTACTTGGTTTCAAAACCCAAGTTGGTGATGAAAATTGGCGCCGTTTTGTTGATCAATTTCCTCCCATACTATCTGAACGTTTGGTCCACATGTATAACATCTAAATCGCAGTCAGTGTTTGTTGTGTGTTTGCCTGAATGAAACAAGCAAAAGATGGAATTTATTTTTTCGAAGGTTAAGTAAAATTTGACGACAAACAGTGGTATACAAAAAATAATTAAAAAAGAGTGTTAGGATTCAAACAAGTGTCAGTCAGTTTTTGTGTGAAACAAATGAAGGGAATATGTTTTACAGATTTTTAAATTAAAATACTTTTTTTTTTTCTTTTTGTTGTTAGGGATTTTCATTTTATATTATTATTATACAGTGAAACTTGTAGGTCATAAAAGTAGGAAAACAAAAAAACAGAACAAACTAACTAAAAAAACAAGAAAACCTTAACATGTAGATAACTTTAAAGATGTATTAGACCGACTTTAAAACTCTACAATTTTCCTCATTCTTCAAATGGTTATAATTTAACTAAAGGTAGTAAATCCTTTAAAGAAATGAAAATTAACTCGTATGATGAAATTTTACTGATTGTAAATTTTTTTCTTGGGATAACAAGTTAATAGTAAAAAAAAAAACAAAATTAACAAAAAAAAAAGGTCTAACCTTAAAGACATAAATTTTTTTCATTAAAAATATATAAATAAATATAAATAAAAATTAAATTAAACTATAACAAAACAATATATACATAAATTATAAAACATAAACTAAAAACAAACTTAACTAAATAGAAAAACATCTTAAAAAAAAAAACAAAAAAAAATATATCATGCAATTCATATACTCTCTCTTGTTCATAAAACATCTTAGTAAAAACCCTGTACTAATTAAACATATTCAAACAAAACTAAATTTAAAACTTAACTAACAAATAGCAGCAATTGGTGAGTAGCCTGGCATATTACTATATTTAGTTTTTATGCTTAAAACTACTCAATATAAAAATAAACTCTAACCACGGCCAGTAATATATTAACAATTAATTTTTAATTTTTTTTTTTAATTATAAATATTAATATATAATTGTATGTGTATGCAGTAACCCTTTGATTTAACACCAACATTTATTTTTTTTTGTTATATTCTATATTTACTTACAACAACCCCCCAACAACATCTCTTAATTCATAAAAAAGATTTTGCAAATCATCTGTACTTAACATTTAAACAAATTAATTTTATGATTAACTAAAATTCACAGTACATAGACTTTTATGAATTCTTTTATTTCTCTCCGTTTGAAATCATCAATCTTTTCTTTTTTATTTAATTTTTTATGATTTTTATTTTCTTAGTATAAAAAAAAAAGAATAAAAGTGTATTAATAAAATTAAATCGTTCGGTTCGGGTCGGGTCGTTTTCGTCGCGTAAAAATAAACGTTTATATTATTAAATGTAAAAATAATATATAGATTCTATATGTATTATTAAAAATAATATTTATAGATAAATAGTAAAAGAAATGTGTTTTAAACATTTCTTTAGGGAGAAAATAGTTTGAAAATATTTGTTTATCAAATGCAATATTTGCTTTAGATTGGAATTGTTATAAAACAAACATCATTCCATTTAAGCTGTTATCAATGATATGATTGTTAGCAAATATTGATAAGAATTAGAATTGTATAAAGTCTTCGAAAAATATAAACTTTTCAAAGTTTAAATTACTTTTGTATACGTAGCAAATATGCTACAGTTTGTAAATTTACTATACAAACATGGTACAGTTTGTTTTATATGAATTTATAGTAAAATATTTGAACCATTTGCTACTCCTTTAATTATCCTCCAAAAACGGAAAAAATTCTCTTAGGAATTGAAATTTTTTTAACATTTGTTTCTTTACTAATTACAATTCGAAACTTTGAAATTTTCATAAAATTGTGAATACTTACTTAGTGAGACTTTTAGGCCATAGTATAGCCCAGATTATATTCTATATCCCAGACTTTAGTCTATAGCCCACACTGTAGTCTATAGCCCACACTATATTCTATAGCCCAGACTATAGTCTAAAGCCCAGACAGTAGTTTACAGCACAGACTGTAGTCTATAGCCCAGACTGTAGTCTATAGACCAGGCTATAGTATATAGCCCACACTATAGTCTATAGCCTAGACTTCAGTCTATAGCTCAGAATGTAGTCTATAGCCCAGACTGTATTCTATATCCCATACTATAGTCTAAAGGCCAGACTATGTTCAACAGTGAAGACTATAGTATATAACCCAGACTATATTCTATAGCCCAGACTATTGTCTATAGCCTAGACTATTGTCTATAGCCCAGACTATTGTCTATAGCCCAGACTATTGTCTATAGCCCTGACTTTTGTCTATAGCCCAGACTAAAGTCTATAGCCTAGACTATTTTCTATAACCCCGACTTTAGTCTATAGCCCAGACTATTTTCTATAACCCAGACTTTAGTCTATAGTCCAGACTATTGTCTATAGCCCAGACTAGTATATAGCCCACACTATAGTATGTGGCCCAGACTATTGTCTATAGCCTTGACTATTGTCTATAGCCCAGACTATTGCCTATAGCAAACTTAAACTAAACTTTAAAATTTTTCATAAAATTCTGAATAATTCTGAATTATCAATGAAATTTGAAATCGTTAGTTAAAATTCAAATTTTTCGTAAATTTTTTATACAATTCTATTATCCATTGTTCGATATTTTAGAAAATTTGAAAAAACATCTGTTCAAAATTGCTTCAAAAATGTTTTCTTTCAATACGAATTTCACAATTCTTTTCAAAATTCATTTGTTTAACAACTATTTTCAATACTATTTTTATTATTATTAAAATAATATCGTCGCGTTTCGGGTTTTATCGGTTTCGCGTTCGCGTTTAATCTCAATTTCGTCGTTCGTTTGCTCGTAAGTTCGTTTGATTTAAGTACTACTCGGTCAGCTCGTCGTCGTCGTTCGTTCGTTTTGGTACAAAATAAAAATTAGCATTAGGGTTCGCGTTTTTTTTTTTTAACAAAAAACTATAAATAGCAAAACAAAAAATGTTTATAAAACTTTAAAACTATAGTAAAAAACAACTAGCAAACCAGGAGAACAACAATAGTATTAAAAATTAAAATATTTTTTTTTATGATTTTCTTATAATTTAAATTTAAACAATTTAGCTAACATTTTTAAAAGAAATCCTATAGAATAATTTAACAAATCATATTATTTTTTTTTATAACTTTTTTCAGAGTCTCACTATAGAAAAGATTATAATATTAATTGCTTTATTTAGATGAAGAAGAAATACTATTGTCTATAGTTTTGACTATAGTCTTTAGCCCAGACTATAGTCAAGTTTATATTAAAGATAGTCCAGACTATAGTCTATAGTCCAAAATATAGTCTATAGTCCAGACTATAGTCTATAGTCCAGACTATAGTCTATAGTAGTGCTGTTAAAGTATTGAGTAGTGGGTATCGAGTATCGAGTATTTGCCCTATTTTTTGGGTACTCAATACTAAAAAGTAGTTACTCAATACTTTCAGACTTGTATATGGATTTAACTTATTTAAATTTAACGGCTATGATGTGAAAAAATACAGCTCTAAAATCTAATATAGACCATATCATTATTAGAAATGCAACTCTTAGCAATATCAAATCAATGTAAAAATAATTTAAACACTGCAATAATAGTTAAAAAGTTACAAATATTTATCGACGCTATCTAAAAAAATAAAATGTCTCAAAAGAGGTGTGATGTCTGGTCTAACTTTACTTAAAAAAAAGGAAAAATTCCTCGTTTAAAATAAAACCGTTAAAAGTATCGAGTAGTATTGAGTACCCAAACGAAAAGTATTGAGTAGTATTGAGTAATCAAAAGTAGTAGAATATTACAGCACTAGTCTATAGTCCAGACTATAGTCTATAGTACAGACTATAGTCTATAGTCCAGACTATAGTCTATAGTCAAGACTATAGTGTATAGTCCAGACTATAGTCTATAGTACAGACTATAGTCTATAGTCCAGACTATAGTCTATAGTACAGACTATAGTCTATAGTCCAGACTATAGTCTATAGTCCAGACTATAGACTATCGTCCAGACTATAGCCTATAGTCCAGACTATAGTCTATAGTCCAGACTATAGTCTATAGTCCAGACTATAGTCTATAGTCCAGTCTATAGTCCAGACTATAGTCTATAGTCCAGACTATAGTCTATAGTCCAGACTATAGTCTATAGTCCAGACTATAGTCTATAGTCCAGACTATAGTCTATAGTCCAGACTATAGTCTATAGTCCAGACTATAGTCTATAGTCCAGACTATAGTCTATAGTCCAGACTATAGTTTATAGTCCAGACTATAGTCTATAGTCCAGACTATAGTCTATAGTACAGACTATAGTCTATAGTCCAGACTATAGTCTATAGTACAGACTATAGTCTATAGTCCAGACTATAGTCTATAGTCCAGACTATAGTCTATAGTCCAGACTATAGTCTATAGTACAGACTATAGTCTATAGTCCAGACTATAGACTATCGTCCAGACAATAGTTGACAGTCTACACTATAGTCTATAGTACAGACTATAGTCTATAGTACAGACTATAGTCTATAGTACAGACTATAGTCTATAGTACAGACTATAGTCTATAGTACAGACTATAGTCTATAGTACAGACTATAGTCTATAGTACAGACTATAGTCTATAGTACAGACTATAGTCTATAGTACAGACTATAGTCTATAGTACAGACTATAGTCTATAGTACAGACTATAGTCTATAGTACAGACTATAGTCTATAGTACAGACTATAGTCTATAGTACAGACTATAGTCTATAGTACAGACTATAGTCTATAGTACAGACTATAGTCTATAGTACAGACTATAGTCTATAGTACAGACTATAGTCTATAGTACAGACTATAGTCTATAGTACAGACTATAGTCTATAGTACAGACTATAGTCTATAGTACAGACTATAGTCTATAGTACAGACTATAGTCTATAGTACAGACTATAGTCTATAGTACAGACTATAGTCTATAGTACAGACTATAGTTTATAGTACGGACTGTAGTCTATAGTACAGACTATAGTCTATAGTATAGACTATAGTCTATAGTACAGACTATAGTCTATAGTACAGATTATAGTCTATAGTACAGACTATAGTCTATAGTACAGACTATAGTCTATAGTACAGACTATAGTCTATAGTACAGACTATAGTCTATAGTACAGACTATAGTCTATACTACAGACTATAGTCTATAGTACAGACTATAGTCTATAGTACAGACTATACTCTATAGTACAGACTATAGTTTATAGTACGGACTGTAGTCTATAGTACAGACTATACTCTATAGTACAGACTATAGTTTATAGTACGGACTGTAGTCTATAGTACAGACTATAGTCTATAGTCCTGATTATTGTCTATAGTCCAGACTATTGTCTATAGTCCAGACTATTGTCTATAGTCCAGACTATTGTCTATAGTCCAGACTATTGTCTATAGTCCAGTCTATTGTCTGTAGTCCAGACTATTGTCTATAGTCCAGACTATTGTCTATAGTCCAGTCTAATGTCTATAGTCCAGACTATTGTCTAAAGTCCAGACTATTGTCTATAGTCCAGACTATTGTCTATAGTCCAAAACTATTGTCTATAGTCCAGACTATTGTCTGTAGTCCAAACTATTGTCTATAGTCCAAACTATTGTCTATAGTCCAGAATATTGTCTATAGTCCAAACTATTCTATAGTCCAGACTATTGTTATAGTCCAGACTATCGTTATAGTCCGTAATATTGTCTATAGTCCAAACTATTGTCTATAGTCCAGACTATTGTCTACAGTTCAGACTATTGTCTATAGTTCAGACTATTGTCTATAGTCCAGACTATTGTCTATAGTCCAAACTATTGTCTATAGTCCAGACTATTGTCTATAGTCCAGACTATTGTCTATAGTCCAAACTATTGTCTATAGTCCAGACTATTGTCTATAGTCCAGACTATTGTCTATAGTCCAAACTATTGTTATAGTCCAGACTATTGTTATAGTCCAGACTATTGTTATAGTCCATACTATTGTCTATAGTCCAAACTATTGTCTATAGTCCAGACTATTGTCTATAGTTCAGACTATTGTCTATAGTTCAGACTATTGTCTACAGTCCATACTTTTGTCTACAGTCCAAACTATTGTCTATAGTCCAGACTGTTGTCTATAGTCTAGACTATTATCTATAGTCCAGACTATTGTCCATAGTCCAGACTATTGTCTATATCCACGCTATTGTCTATAGTCCAGATTTTTAAGTTTAATTTATAACAAAATTTTCAAAATACTTTTTATTTAAAGCCCACTTTACCTTTCTTCTTCTTAAGTCTAAATAAAACTTATTAATGTTGTAATTTTTGATTTAATAACAGCAACAACAAAAACTAACTATAATTAAGAATATTTATGTGATGTTTCCTCATACTAAAAAAAATCTAATCCTTTTAGGATTACAAATTTTCGATCTGATTTTTAACAAGTAAAAAAGGAAGAATTAAAAAAATGTAAACAAAAGACTTATTTTTTTATTAATTATAAACATAAAATAGCAATTGTAAATGAATATTTAAAGAAAAATGAAGAAATAACTATAAACAATTTTTTGTGTTTTAACAAATATTTACCATAAGGGGGGATTAGTATAAAAAATAACAATAAAAACTACGTGTGATATTAAAATTAATATTTCGGTTTCGCGTCGCGTGTCATAATAATGAAAATAATATAAAAGCTAAATTAAAGTAAAAAAAACAAAATGGATCTCCGCCCCCAGATCCCAAACTAACTACATTATAATTATAATAACAATAAATACATAAAATAGAAATCGTCGCACATTTGTATATAATAATAATCTAAAATAAAAAAAAATTAGTAATAATAAATTAATCGTGATTTCGTAAGTACCTAAACCAGATTCACCGCGGAATCTGGTCGCGTTCGCGTTTATCTCTCGGGTGATTATTTAAACTTAAGATAATAGTAATTAAAAATAACAGAGAAAAAAAACTATTTTCGTAAAAAAATTTATCGAAAAAGCAAACTAACTCAAATAATAATAATAATAACAAATTAACTATAAAAATACACACAAATAGGGAATTATTTTTTTATTTAATGTTTATGTTTTTTTTTACATTATTTGTTATATATACAACAAATTTTTTCTTTAATACAACATTTTGTTTTGTACAACTAAACTAAATATTTGTTATTTGTTTAATTAAATTTCTTTAGCATCAGTTTTATATTTCCATAATAAAGTTTTTAATCATCAATTTATTAAATATTTAAAGAAAATCTGCATACACCTTATCATTTTGTTATATTCTAAACACAATCAAATTATAATTTAAACAATTTGAAAAGAAAACCGACATTTTAAAACTTAAAATTATGTCAACTTCACTATATTACACATTCTGAATAAAAATAAATATATGTTTGTAATAAAACAAAGAAATATAAATCTGGAAAATCATTTTTTAGTTTGATATAAGATATCAATAGTAAAGTGTAATATATACATATATATTAAATTTAAGTATAATTAGCCTTTTGCTCTTAGTTACAAACAATATTAAAAGTAATAAATAAAAAATGAAATAAAAACAATATCTTATCCACTATTATCAGCAGCCATCATATATACTATGTATAAAATACATCATTATAAACAACTTTCTCTATTAAACTATCTAAAAACCAATATTTAAAATAACAAACATACATATTAAAAGAAATATTCCCTTTAATAGATTTAAAAAAAAAATACCTTTACAATTATATATTTAAATGAAATATAATCATTTAATTCTCTCAACATAATGTGTATGTATATGAATAATAAAATATAATATTTTAAATTAAAAAAAAAAAAAAAAAACAAACTAATTATAAATAGTTTTCATTTTACTTCAATCAAAATGTTATTTTCTTGCAGGCAAGTATTCTTAAAAAAGGAAATTATATTATGAAAATATAGTTGCATTTTATTGAATTGGTAAATAAAATTATGTACTTAAGCATTAAAATTGGTTTTTAAATGACTGTAATACAGTATGTTGTCTCTAAATCTACTTAATATTTTCCAATAGTTCGGTAACTCCTGGTAAATATACCTAATCATCCCTATTCTGCATTTCGATTGCGTTTACGCATTCAGTTATGCAACGAACGAAAAAAGGTATTCCAACAAAAAAACTGAATCGTAAGAAAAAGAAGAAGCAATTCCATTTCGTTTCAATGCTTAACGAACATGTGTATTCTGTAGGGTGATCGAATCGATTTTTCAACCGGTTTTAAAACCGGTTTTTTCTGCTTTACCAGTGTCGGTTTTTTCTAAATGTTGATTTTTCGAATATCGAATAACCCGGTTTTTTCACTTTTTAAAAACCGGTTTCGAATACTTTTATTTGCTTTGTATTCAAAGATTATTTAAATGAAATTTTGAAGTAAATAATACAGCCCGTTTAAATTTTAAAAATATTCGAGTCCAGGAACTAGAATATATTTTTCTAAAGCACCATTGGTCAAACCTTTTCCTAATTAATTAAAAAATTTTATTTTTAAAATTGATAACTGTTTAATAAAATTTTATTAATCTTAAGATTGTATTCCAATTACAATAATTAATTTACCGCTGAAATATTATGGAAGTGTTGGAATGCCTATGAAAATTTCCTAAAAGGGCTTTAGAATAAGCTAGGATTACATAGTACCTTATGTTTAACAGAAGTGTCCACTTTTTTCCTATTTTTTTTTATATTAAAAAAATAATGTAAATCAGACGACTAGATCTTAAGTTATAATCTGTTAAACTGTTAAAAATCATTTCGGCCCATGTTTTATTAATCAAATTTAAACATAAACATTATTTTCTTCAAATTAACATATATTTTTTATTTATTATGAAAACCCGGTTAACCGGTTTTTTTCTGAATTTGAAAAATATCAACCGGTTTTTTTGAAATGTCAACTATTCGAACTATTCGAAAACCGGTTTTTGAAAAATGTCGAATAATCGATCACCCTAGTATTCTGCGTTACGATCGTACCTACGTTTTTGTAAGTTTTTTATGTGGCGGAGAGTCGAATCGAAATGCAGAATACCAAAGTTGCCAAACGGAGAAAATTTCAATTCGAATTGAAATGCTGAATAGGGGCCAATATTTAAAAGAAAAGCTTAATCATTGTACAAATCTTCAAGTTCAGTTTCTGGCTCAGCTCAATTTCACTTCTAGTTCATATCTAGTACAGTTATAGCTCAGTTTCTTGATCAATCCTAGTAGTTCTAGTTCACTTAGTTCTAGTTGTAGTTATAGTACAGTACAGTTCTTGTTCAGTTCTAGTTTAGTTCTTGATTAATTTAGTTTAGTTCTAATGCAGTTCTAGTTTAGTTCTGGTTTAGTTCTAGTTCAGTTATAGTCCAGTAATTTTACAGTTTTAGTTTAGTTCTGGTTCACTTCTTTACTTCTAGTTCAGTTCATGTCCAATTCAGTTCAATTTAGTTCTAGGTAGGTTCTAATATAGTTCTAGTTACTTTTCGTTTAGTTCTAGTTCATTTCTAGTTGTTTTTAGTTCAGTTTCTGTTCAATTCCAGTTTTATTCTAGATCAGCTTTAGTTCAGTCCTAGATTATTCCTTGTTCAGTTCTAGTTTAGTTCTTATTCAGTTCTAGTTAATTTCTATCTCAGTTCCAGTTCAGTTCTAGAACAATTCTACTCTATTTTCTTGTTCAGTTTTAGTATAGTTCTTATTCAGTTTAGTTCTAGTTCATTTCTAGTTGTTTTAGTTCAGTTTCTGTTCAATTCCAGTTTTATTCTAGATCAGCTCTAGTTCAGTGCCACATTATTCCTTGTTCAGTTCTAGTTTAGTTCTTATTCAGTTCTAGTTAATTTCTATCTCAGTTCCATTTCAGTTCTAGAACAATTCTTCTTATTTCTTGTTCAGTTTTAGTATAGTTCTTATTCAGTTTAGTTCTAGTTAATTTCTAGCTCAGTTCTTGTTCAGTTCTACTTAGAACAATTCTAGTTTATTTCCAGTTCAGTTCTAGTTTGTTCTAATACAGTTCTAGATCAGCTTTAATTCAGTTCTAATTCAGTCCTAGTTTATTTCTGGTCCAGTTCTATTCTAGTACAGTTCTAGTTCAGTCCCAGTTTATTTCTTGTACAGTTCTAGTTCATTTCTAGATTAGTTCTAGTTAGTTCTAGCAGTTCTAGTTTAGTTCACTTCTGGTTCTGTGGCCCGTCTGTGAAATCGTGCTCTTCTCGTTCGGATGAAATCGTGCTTTCCAAAGACAAATTGCGAGATCGTCTTATTATATAATAAGAAACCAGAATATAATTTTATATTTTTGTGGATCTACGACTAATGTGTAACTAACGGAATGAATATTTTTTAATGGGGAGTATAAAAACCCTAATGTGAAGCAAACATGAAGTGTTTACAGACAGCTTTGTAAATTAGCCAATCTCAAGAATCATTAGTAACCAAATGTTGGTTTCAAGATTTATATTTTGTTACAATATTACGTTGTTGTAAATGGGCAAGATGTTCAAAAGATTTAAATCATCATGCTGTAGAACTGACAATTTTTTACAAAATAATTCTGAAATGTTTATGGAAGTAAGCTGTAATATTTATAAGAAAATTGCCAATTAACTCACAGGAGATTTATGCCCTAATTTAAATTGAATTACAAATATGTATTCCATCTCACATTCTGAATGATATCCATGGCTTAATACACAGTTATACATTATAAAATTTCAGTTATAAACGATCAATATGTTTTTCAAACACTGAATGATTGTGGTTAATGTTATTTATGGCTTTCGAATGCAACATTTTCTTAACTGTTTGAAATTACTTAATTCTTTTAAATTTCTTTTTAAAATGTGAAATATTAATAACCGCTTTATTGAAACTAAAACAATTGTGGAATATAATAATAGTCATCATTATTAATTGTTTTTTTTTTAAACACTTACATATGTAATAAGTTCTCACAGCAGTTATCTTTTGTCTTTTTATTTAAAATCACAAACGTAAGCGGTGTTTACACTTAGCAAATTATGGCTACCGTTAACGCTAACCTATCGTTACAGAATCGTTTGCGTTCATAAATTTTGTATACAAATTTAGTAAATACCAATAATCCACATTACAGATATCATAATGTTCGAAAAGGATTCAAATTAATACCGATATTGAAAATTGCAGTTTGTTTTGTTAATTAGTTAGTTAGTTAGCTAGTTAGTTAGTTAGGTAGTAGTTAGTTAGTTAGTTAGTTAGTTTTATGTTAGTTCGTTAGTTGTTAGTTAGTTCGTTCGTTCGTTAGTTCGTTAGTTCGTTCTTAATTAGTTAGTTCTTCGTTGTTCGTTAGTTCGTTCGTTAGTTCGTTCGTTCGTTCGTTTCGTTCGTTCGTTTTTTTTTTTTCGTTCGTTCGTTCGTTCGTGTTCGTTCGTTCGTTCGTTCGTTCGTTCGTTCGTTCGTTCGTTCGTTTCGTTCGTTTCGTTTCGTTCGTGCGTTCGTTCGTTCGTTCGTTCGTTCGTTCGTTCGTTCGTTCGTTTCTTCTTCCGTTCGTTCGTTCGTTTCGTTCGTTCGTTCGTTTCGTTCGTTCGCCGTTCGTTCGTTTTCGTTGTCGTTCGTTCGTTCGTTCGTTCGTTCGTTTTCGTTTCGTTCGTTCGTTCGTTCGTTCGTTCGTTTCAGTTCGTTCGTTTCGTTCTTTCGTTCGTTCGTTCGTTCGTTCGTTCGTTAGTTCGTTCGTTCGTTCTGTTATTTCGTTCGTTCGTTAGTTCGTTCTTCGTTCGTTCGTTCGTTTCGTTAGTTCGTTCTTCGTTTTTTCGTTTCGTTCGTTCGTTTCGTTCGTTCGTTGTTTCGTTTCGTTCGTTCGTTCGTTTCGTTCGTTCGTTCGTTGTTCTTCGTTCGTTCGTTCGTTCGTTCGTTCGTTCGTTCGTTTTTTTCTTCGTTCGTTCGTTCGTTTCGTTCTCGTTCGTTCGTTTCGTTCGTTCGTTCGTTCGTTCGTTCGTTCGTTCGTTCGTTCGTTCGTTTCGTTTTAGTTCGTTCGTTCGCTTCGTTCGTTTCGTTCGTTCGTTCGTTGTTCGTTTTTTGCCTTCCTTTCCCCCTGTTCTGTTCCGTCGGTTCGACCTGTAGTACCGGCTCTCCTCATAATGGAATATTTGCATTATTGGACTTAATGCGACTCACTCATTGTCACGCCTTTGAAAGTATCGCCCTCGTAGCTGTACTTTACCAGTCTATTTTCGCAATTATTTAAATTCCGTTTCATTTAACGATAACGGTTTTGTACATAAAACATACTCTCTCATAAAAGAGAATTGTAAAGAATTTAAAGAGAGCTTTTTCTCAACATTTGGGGTAAATGTGGCGTCGCCAAAACAATAATAAAGCACGCGTGAACATATCACAACAACAATAAAAAATACAACACGACAAAAAAGCCACTCAAACGAGTACAATAATCTCTGTAGTTATATGGACGGATAGATGTTTATATTTGTAGTAATATTAGTTGTACTTTGTTATTAAATTGACCTGCTATCAGTTTTACGATTAGTTAAATTTCAAGCTTTTTTTGAATTAAAAGTTATAAAAATTATTTTAAGAAACACATACGCGAGTATGCAATCGAATAGTTATTGTTGATTTGGTGTGGAAATTGAAGTGGCGTTTTATGGCTGCTAGTTTTTTAAGCAAACTGTAGAAGACCCCCGATATAATAATAAAAAATAATGCATTATATAGCGGCATTAGATGTGGGAACAACAACAGTACGTTGTTTTGTGCTCAATGAAAAATGTGAAATTAGGGGTTCAGCTGTGGAAGCGGTAAGAGAATAAAAAAATAGCTTTCAGTTGTTATTGTTAAAGAGCAACTTAGATTAATGAATGAATGGAATGTTGTTTTTTGTGTGACCAGGTGGAATTGTTGAATCCTAAACCGGGTTATTTTGAAATTGAACCAGAAGGTTTATGGCGGAAAATCGTTAGAGTTATAAAAACAGCTGTGCAAAGTAAGTTTAATTTTATTATCGAAAAAACTAGTTATTTTAAAATTTTTCACTTTTAGATGCTCAAATTTTACCCTCTCAGATTAGTTGTCTGGGTATTAGCTCACAACGTTGTACTTTTTTGACTTGGAATCATTTGACCCAAGAATACTTTCATAATTTTATAACGTGGAAAGATTTGCGTTCCGATGGCTTGGTTGACAAATGGAATAATAGTTTAACTTTAAAAACCATTAATAGCTTGGCCTATGCTTTGTATTTATTAACACGTAGTAATCGTTTTTTGGCTGGCAGTGTTCTGAAAATGATGAATGGTCAAGTTACTTTACGTTTACTGTACGAGATACAAAATAATCTAAAATTGAAAGAAGCTTTAAAAACTAAATCTGCCAGAATTGAGTTATTGGATTCATGGATTTTATATAAATTGAGATCGGGTAATGGTGAGAATCCTAATGTTGAACATATCGCGGATATAACCTCATGTACGGCAACTGGTTTATTTGATCCCTTTCTGTTGGATTGGTCACCGATGATGAAATTTGTATTTGGAATTGATGTAAGTCTATAGACTAGTGTCTGTAGTATAGACTATTTAGTCTTTTTTCTAGTGTATAGATTAGTCTATTGTCTAGTATATAGACTTGTCTAATATCTATGTCAATAGACTAATATCTAGTATAGAAACTAGTTTATTCTCCAGTCCATAGACTAGTCAATTGTCCAGTTTATTGACTTGTCTATTGTCAAATTTATAGAATAATCTATTGTCTAATTTATATACTAATCTATTGTCTAGACTATAGACTTGTCTATTGTCTAGTTTATAGATATGTCTATTATCTAGTCTATAGACTATTCTATGTCTAGTTTATAGATATGTCTATTCTCTAGTCTATAGACAAGTTTATTCTCTAATCTATAGATTAGTCTATTGTCTAGACTATAGACTTGTATATTGTCTAGAGTATAGACAAGTCTATTCTCTAGTCTATAGACTAGCCTATTCTCTAGTCAATATACTGGTCTATTCTCTAGTCTATTTATAGGTGATTATTTAACTATAAACTTTCAGAGTTCCCTACTGCCAAAAATTGTTAATAATTCGTACAAACATTTCGGACATATCAATCCCGTCGACTTTGGACCCGAATGGAAAAATTGTCAAATACCCATAACATCATCGATTAGTGATCAAGCGGCTGCTATATTTGGCTCACAATGTTACTCAAAAGGTGATGTTAAAATCACTATTGGGACGGGAGCCTTTTTAGATCTAATAACAGGCAACAAATGTCATGCTTCTTTAAAAGGCATGTATCCTTTGGTAGCTTGGCAATTTGATGAGACTACATTTTGTGTTGAGGGAGCTGCCCATGATATGGGCACGGTAATAGCTTGGGGTCAAAATTGTGGTCTATTCGCAGATCCTGCGGAAACTTCGAGTATTGCAGAATCAATAACCGATACAAATGGTGTTTATTTTGTACCGGCCTTCAGTGGTTTGGGGGTAATAGTTGAAAATTAATTAAGAAAACTTTAGAATTTATAGAAAACAAATATTTTCAGGCTCCCATAAATGATCATAAGGCGGCTAGCGGTTTTATAGGTATAACACCCTCCACCACAAAAGCTCATCTAATTAGAGCTTTATTGGAAAGTATTGTATTTCGTTTAGTGCAATTATGTAAAACGGCGGAAGAGGAGGAAACGGGACAAAAGCTTAAGATTCTAAAGTAAATTACAGAATCTATCCCAATTTATCATAAATATTAAAATAAATCTATTTTATTTATTCCAGGGTAGATGGTGGTGTCTCACGTAATAATTTTGTCTGTCAGTTTTTGGCAGATGCCAGCGGTATACATGTGGAAAGAGCACGCAATCCAGAAAGCAGTATACTGGGTGCCACCTATGCTGCTGGCATTAATTTTGGCCTTTGGAAAACTTTCAATGATATAAGTAAATTTCGTGATATAGAACGGGTCTTTGAACCAAATAGAGAAAAATATCACGAAATATGTAAGCGTATGAATATTTGGCTAAAAGCTATTGAACGTTTTGGTCATTGGTATTGCTAGTATAAAGCTTATGCGTTTAAATAATGTAAATAATGTTTTTTTAATTTTATTTAATTGCATTGTTTTAATTTTTAAAAGAAAAAAAATTTATAAAAAATAAAAACAAAAAAATTAAAAAACCTTTTTCAATTAAGCCATACGGGCTTGAATCAATCCATTTCTGTTTCAATAGTACGATAAGTCCGGTTTGGCTTGAATCAAGTGCAAAATAATTGAATCAATCTCGAATCAGTCAATCACGAAAGTGTTGATTTTAGCGCAATTTGAGTTTTTGTGAGATCAAAGTGATCTCAGAACCTAATTGATTTAAGACATTTTTCCCTAGATTTGATCTCTACAAAATCTAGAAAATACATTATTATACCCTCATTTTGAAAATAGGGCCTCCAATGAGGGTTTAGGTTATTGACTGACGACTAAATCATTTCATTAATGTTTTATATAAAACAAGTTAGAGTGATATATTTATTCTTCAATGATGAATCGCAGCCTACCCCTACTAGCTAGTTCTATATTTATAGAGAACTAGCTAGTAGGGGATCTATTACATATATGTATTATGACCAATTATGGTTCGGTGTGAAAAATTCTTTTTACCGAACGATTTATGTATGTACAAAATATACTTGAATCTACTTTATATCCCAATGGCATTATTAGTTTATGAGTTATTTACGATTAAGAGCTTTTCGGAAGTTGACTTTATAGGAAAACTATTGTCGTGTGCACCCTGTAATAGAGCTACTGAATAGAAGAAGAAGAAACTTAAACAGGTGGCAACACAATGAAAAAGGGATTTTTTTTTTTGGAAAGAAGAAGATGAATAAAAACAAAAACAAATAGCTTTAGGAAAAAATTTTATGTAGGCAAACAAATTGCTGAAAATTTGTTGAAGCCATATTGGTAACCGAGGTTTCTAGATGCCAAAAGGAAAAAATGTCGGTCCTTTTTGATTTTTGCTCGGAGAGAAGAAGAAGGTGGAGTCTGTGGCCTCATCATAAAAAAAAAACTAAATTTTTGATTTCATTTTTTTATATAAATTAAATCAATTTTATTAAAAAAAAAAGAATTAATTAAACTTAAAACTAAACTTAAAACTAAACTTAAAGCTAAACTTAAAACTAAACTTAAAACTAAATTTTAAATTAAACAAAGCAAAACACAAACCTGCAAAGCCACTTCAACACCGACTCCATCCAACGAGGGAGAAGCTGTTTTCCAGCACCACCACGCCTGGGGTGCTCTGGTATCAGTTTTTGGTTTTCCGACTAAGTGATAGATTTTACCTGGACGACAAGACGGACGGTCAACTATTCCTTTTCTTTAAGAAAAATTCTTATTAGTTAGGATAAAATATCTTTATACAATAGGAAATCCTTACCCCGTGTTGTCGTATCGTCGCCATCCCGTGTGAAGTTCCAATTATATCCACGCGTGCGCGAACATTAGGGTAGAGCTCTGGCCTAGAATATAGTAGTTTACGGTGTTTGAGTCCTAGGTTTCCTGAAATATTATAAAGATAGTTTCCCTGAAAATAAAAAAAAAATAGAAAAAATAAATAAAAGGAATAAGGTAAAAATAGATAATATTTTGTCCACTTACCTGGTTTACCCGAACGGACCTTAATACGGACGGACAGGAAAGCCTCATCCGCCAAAAGAACTCTTCCGCTCTATGATTGCCTCCCGTAAACCAGCTAGTTGCAGCAGAAAACACTTGCCAGATCCCGTTTATCCACAAGCAGAGAAATTATGAACTTTTAAGAAACGTAAACATAAATTTGAGAACATAAATTTAAAACCTAAATTTAAATCTAAACCTAAATCTAAAACTAAATCTAAACCTAAATCTAAAACTAAATCTAAACCTAAATCTAAAACTAAATCTAAACCTAAACATAAATCTAAAACTAAAGCTTAATTTTGAATTTTAAAACCTAAATTTAAATCTAAAGCTAAATTGTGATTTTAAATATTAAAACCTAAATTTAAACCTGAATCTAAATGTTAAATTTTTAAAACCTAAATTTTTAAAGCTAAATCTGAAATTAAAATTAAAGCCAAACGAAATTTTAAATCTAAATAATCTATTGTTATTGTTAAAGTCCGTTGAAATTAATTTCGATAATAAAGACTAAATTTTATAATGTTTAGATGAAATTTTTAAAAGTCTTAATCAATTAAAATGATCGGTTAAACAATATAAGCGGCGGTAAGTAGGGAAAGGAAAGTTTGCAGGGCAAATTTTGGGACATCCCTAATATTAGGATGTCATGGCGGGATTATCCAATCCCGAGTGGGAGGGTTTATCCTGGCACAACATCTGCCAGCCGTTATAGGTCGTAGGAACGTTTCATCAGGGAGACAGACAGAAACCTACTCGGTGCCACTTTATATTTTATTTCGTTTATTTCTTTTAGCTGGTATGGTTTTTATGTGTGTGTGTAGGTGTCTATAGTGGTAGCAAGAACCACCCCCATCCGGCGAGCTCCAAGCCCGGCGAACGCGAGCATACCAGCGCCGCTACCGCTCTGGCAACACTAGTTTCTTTTGTTTTGCACAACCACTACACTACACTATGGACAATTATAGCCCGATACGAAAAAAATCATTTAATAATTTGTATATGTAGAAAACATGTGCGTGTAATTGATTTTCGGAACACTTATATGTTTAGGAGATATAGTCAATTATGGATCGATATTAGATTTATATAGGCAAAACTATGTTGTAATACCGCTATTCTAGAGAGGGACTTTATCAAATTTTAAACCGATTTTAGTAATTTTTAACCGAATTTAAGAAAAACTCATCAAGAATTAAAAAAACCTGTGTTTTTGCTCA